CAAATATTAAAATCACCCTCCAATAAATAGGTAATGTAATCATTCGTCAATGCAGACCTCCTTTCCCTTTGCGATCTTTTAATTTGTGGCCCAGGAACTGACTTAGTCGTTGTTGGAGGAAAAATCAGAAGTTCATCTTGGTGTTATGGTTCCTCATTAACAATATCCTACGTTTGAGATACAACCATTTCTGTATAACAGGAACTGAAACAATAACTTGATTCGGTTCAACCAAAAGTTCCTTTCACGTAAAACTCCCACTATCACCAAAATCATTTTTCAGAAATTTAGCAATAATGGACTCAACAATTCTGGTGCCCTGATTGGGACAGTAGAACTTACATCCTTTCAATATATCTGGATGCCCAAGAAAGTAAATAGGAGTTGATTTTGGGTCTAATTTCTTTTCAAGAGGATTATAAATCCTAATCTCAACTGGACATCCTCAAACTCTGAAATGAGCCAAACTTGGCTTACGCCCTATCCATAATTCAAAAGGTGTCTTTTCAACAACTTTACTTGGATCTCTGTTCAAAATGTACATAGCAGTTTTCAAAGCATCACCCCATAGATACTTTAACAAACTTGTTCTACTCATCATACTCCTGACCATATCCTCCAGAGTTCGATTATGTCTTTCGGAAACGTCATTCTGCTAAGGAGTTCCTGGCATGGTGTATTGAGGCACTATCATACACCCTTGCAAAAACTTTACAAAATCATCCATGTTTTGACCACATCATACTTCCTACAATACTCATCACCACAGTCAGATCTTACAACTTTGATACTTTTCCCACATTGTTTCTCTACTTCTATTTTGAAAATCTTGAATTTATCAAGAGCTTGAAATTTATCATTAATTATTAGGTAAACATATCCATATCGCGAAAAATCATCAATGAAAGTTATGAAGCATTTGTTCGCACATATGGTGGAAGGTAAGGGTCCACTAATATCGGTATGTATCAAGTCCAAAATACCATCGCTTTAGTGGAATCTTTCCTTGTAGACTTAGCCAGCTTTCCTCTTATACAATTCACACAAGTGTCAAAATCATATAAGTCTAGAGGAAAGTATCTCAATTTTACCAATCTCTCCATCACATCCCTTGAAATGTGACCCAACCACTTATGCCATAAAAAGATGATGATTCGCGAATTAGAGACATTCTTTGAAACATTGGTAACATAAGAGACTTCACCAAAATGAGCCAAAGACAATTTGTATAAACCATCACATGAAAGGCCATTTTCAATCAAACGAGAATCATAAAAACAATTCAACTATTCCATTACCAAAATTAAAGAAAAAACTAGAAACATCAAATTTCGTTATAGAAATTAAATTCCGTCTCATTGTGGGTACAAAAACTGTATTCTCTAAAACAAGATAGAAACCAAACTCCAAAGACAACTTCACTACTCCTATGAACGCATCCTTCACTTGAACTCAATTCTCAACGCACAAGCTCGCTTCATACTCACTTTGTCTCCGTTTGCTTATGAACCACTGCAAAGAATCCACAAGATAAATACTAGCTCTCGAGTCTATCCACCAAGAATTCAAAGGACCCAAAACAAACTAAGACCAATGAAATACCAGCGAAACTTTTCTTATTTTCTAACGAAGCCTTAAATTTAAAACAATCATTCCGCCAATAACCCTTCTTTTTGTAGAACTTACATTGATCATTTTTCTTTATAGTTCATTTGGGACCGTCAGAAGTCTGACCTCTAAAATTTTTATTCTGCTAATTGCGGCGTGACTTATTGTCCTTATAGAATTTAGACTTATGGTTACGAGAAGACTCATTGTTCTGTGATGGTTAAAAAGTTAATTACACAGTTTCAACAGTTTCATGCCGCCTCCTATACTCCTCTTGGCCACGTACAGCAATAAGGTCATTCAAATCTGGTGTCTGATCCGGTCAAAACCCCATTTGGTGTCAGATTCATTCGAACCTGAAAAATTTCTGGATTCCAGCATTGATGTTAGATCCGGCCAAAATTTTGAGCTCATCCCCTTTGGTGCCGGGCGGAGAATATGATTAAGATTGCCATTAATGTTATACTGTTGCAGACATTGGAGGGCAATTTAAATAAGGATAATTGGAAGAAAAGATGGACGGGAACTCTCCAAATTGTAATTTGAAAAGCAACTTCGTTGACAACACCTTTTTCTGTTGAATTTTTCCTTCTTTTTGGTCACTTTTGAGGAGCCCACATGTTGGTACAAAGCCCCGTGTACATCCAGAAAATAGCAAATATATAGCATCAAAATCTCCATGATTGGGGACAATTTCAGTTGAAATATCAAATCTAGAGCATAGTAGTAGGGAATTCAATTCTACAAGTTTGTTTGAAGGCACCCGAGGACCAGAAACAGAGAAGACGCAGTGGACGACGGCGTCGAGGAATCTTCCAAACGCTGCAAATTGCCACCGGTTTTTTCTCCGTCTTGAACCGGCTAGGTCACGGTGTCTTTCGACTTGTCTACAACGTACCTTTTCACCTTCTCAAGTGGAAAGAAATTATATGAAAGTACACAATGGTGGTACCGGCGGTTTGCCGACAATTTTTGTGGCAGTGATGCTCGGTGGGGAGTGGAGGTTGGGGTTGGGAAGATGATAAATTGTTTTTTTTATTTAATTCTTTTATACTGAAATTATCCTTTTCCCCTTTAAAAATTAGTCATTTTTTGGTTTAATAGTTGACTAAAAGTCAATTAACAGATGAACTAACGATTTTTATCCATTTAAAGTCCATGTGCGAATTTTTGAAAGGTTCTATATTGCAGTTGGCACAAAAGAAAAGTTTGGGTCAATTCTGCAACTAAATGAAATATTTTGTACCATGACTATAATTCTCCCTTCAAATAATAAACCTGGCTTTTTAACCATCAAGATTTTAAGTTGAAAAATATGTTTGGTCAAGCTTCAAAAGATTGAAATTATATCTATATATATTGTGGAAATTAGATAGAATCCTACTTTTAAAAATTGTATTTTAAAAATCAAATTTAAGGATTATTTATACAAAAATCAGATAATAATATAATTTTTAAATATAAATAATAGTCTTATAAAAATAATTTAATCTGCATAACGACTCCACCCCCACCAAACCCAACCCAACCTAATCCAACCAAAACCAAAACCCAAACCCTAATCATAAATCATTTTTCCTCTCGATTATCTTTTTCTATTCTCTTCATTGTCTCTCTTCTACTTCCGTCAAGAAGCCCATCGTTGTCGCATAGCAGGCGATGACACACAACAACAATGTTGTCGGAAACCACAACAACAACGGCGGGCACGACGGGTGACAATAGCACCGCTATGTACGACGTTGCTGCAGTAATTACACGCGGCGCTATGCTCGTTGCGCATGACGCGCACACGGCTTGCAATAGAGTCGTAGTTGTGGATTGTCGTCCGTTGTGGATTTGATAAGACAGTGGTAGTGATGCAGTGGTGGTGCCGACAGTGGGTTTGGGGATTTTTTGGTGGGTGTGGTAGTTGTGGTGTGATGAAGATGGTTGTTGTGATTTTTGGTACATGAGATGGTGGTGGTGCTTCTGCTGGCCGTGAAGTTGATGGTAAGATGGTGGTGGTGGTGCAAGTGGTGTTGGGGTTGACATTGGTGGTGATTTTGTAGTTGAAAATGATGGTTTGTTGGTGGTGGGGTGGTAGTGGTGGTTTTGAAGTTGAAAATTGTAATTTGTTGGAGGTAGTGTCGATGGTGGCACATCGGCGGTGGTGTTACTTGGAGGTAGTGGCAACGGTGTTTGCGACAGTGCGATTGGAGGCAATGGTGAGGTAGTGGTCACAAGTATTGGTGGTGATCACAAATTATTTGGTTGATTGTGACCAATAAATAATGTGACTTACAATTTTTTTTGATTTGTGATCGACGAAATTTTTTATCTGTAACCGCGAAATAATTTGTGACCTATAAATTTTTTTATTCGGATTAGACCATGGTTTTGTCCAGAAACTGGGGAATTGGTGCCGGGTCCAGTCCAGTTGGTATACATTGATCAATTTGTAGGTGAATCGTGAATAATCGACCAGATTCGGATTTTGTCAAACTCGACGAACCAATTTAGTTAAAATTGACCGATTCAATGAAATCACAAAATATATTTTTTTGCAGAATTCGAATGAAAGACATCACGTTTGATAATAAGACCCAATACCGTTGACCCTCTAGCTCGATACTTTGATTGAGTCAATTATGAGATCGGGTCTGATAACGGTGTTATGACCCCATCACATTAATGTGAAAATAAGATGCTTATAATTAAATTTACTTTAGAGTAAATATTTTAAGCTTAGCCAAACAAATTTTTAGTTATTTTTTGTTCTCAAATTAAATTAATGCTAACAAAGAGTGTGAATAATAGAAGCAAAAAATTGTCCATCACGAGAAGTACAGAGCCGAGGATGAATAGGTGCATTTCAAGGGTGCCAACCTGACGTCCTCGGGTGTGGCTCCTCGGATACAAAGGGCTTAGCCATTTGGGGGAAAACCCACCTGATTCCTCGGGCTACCTCCTCGGTCATGGAGGTCGACTTACGGTTTTAAGTTGACTAAGGCAGATGTTTTAGCTATCAACACCTCGTCCATTAGGATCCTTCCATGAGATAAAGCTTATCCAACTCAAATAAGGTTGAGTCCTACTACATCTCCTTTATACTATAATGAACCACTAGAGTTTCATCTCCATCGAAACATCAATTGTACAATATCAATCAAATTGCAACTCCTAGACATGGTAAGACTATTAAGCCCCTATGACTCTTAAAAGCAGACGAGGATGCTTTATTACCTACTAGAAATGTGCTATCTATCTCTATAAATACAATATCTCAATTCATTATTCAAGTACGTTTTTACATAATTTTCAGTTTATAACCTTATGCATACATTCTCTCTCTAACTAAAGCATTAGGTTCCACACACTTCAAGAACAAATATTCCAAATTGCTTATTCTATCAGTGCATTCCAGTTGCAAGAACAGCATTTCTGATGGAAAGTAGCTCATTAGCAGCATCACTCATGCTCAATCTTTCTCTTGCTGTACTCATTGAACAAGCCAATCCTACTTTGAATACTGAAACGAAGCACTCTTTCAATTTGTGAATCTTCGTGTAGTTCATGTTCATCTCCACTGATTTGCATTCTTCGACAAGTATTGGATCGATAATTTCTGCTACTCTATCAGGCAAAGCTGCCTTAACGAAATAATGTAGGCTAAGTCCATCTTTGAACATGTCGTCTGTAGGCCTTTTTCCAGTAAACATCTCTAACAGAAGAATTCCAAAGCTGTATACGTCGCCTAGAGTCGAAACCTGACTTCCCCTTCCATACTCTGCAATGCACATATTATAAGAAGGCAAAAAAATCAAACGATCCATATCGTTAAAGGGCTCAAAATGCATTTACCTGGAGCCGTGTAACCAAGAGATCCTCTTACGCCAAATGAGCTTGTCGGGGTGTTTTGGTCATCTGTTGGAAGGAATTTTGCTAAACCAAAGTCTCCTACATGTCCAACCATTTGATTGTCCAATAGAACATTGCTTGGCTTAAGATCACAGTGAACGATTGTTTCATGGCAGTGATGATGAAGATAATCAAGTGCAGAAGTAATGTCGATGGAAATGTTCAATCTCTGAATAACATTCAATTTAGATGAATCATCACTTGAATGTAACCATCGATCCAGACTACCATTATCCATGAATTCATAAACCAGAGCTTTGAAATCGTTACCTCGATTATCAATACCTGAGCATGTTGTTAGCACCCTGACAAGATTCCGATGTTTAATATTCTTAAACACTTCACATTCGACTAGAAAACTCTGGGAAGCCACTGGTTGAAAAAGATTGAATACCTTCACAGCAACAACAGTTTCTGTACTATCAAGAAATCCTTTATACACGGACGAGAAACTACCCGTTCCAGCAAGATTAGCCGAACTGAATCCATTGGTTGCTTGAAATAGACTTTGATAGGATAATTTCAAAATAGTATCTTTTGAAAAATCTGAAGGGACCTTTTTTTTCTTGTAATAGTAAAGAAACATTAAGGCACATAACAACAGAAGTCCTAAAATACTACATACAAAAGAAATTGTTAGTTTGAAAGTTAAGCTTGAAGTGAACTTTTTGGATGATTTAGGTTTATTTTCACATAAAGGAATTTGAAATCCAGGAGTGTTGACGCAAAGATTTGGATTTCCAATCACTGAAACTGTAGTTGCATTTCTAAAGATTCCTTCATTTGGCAATACACCCTCAAAGGAATTGAAGGAAAGATTTAAATATTGCAAATCAAAACTTCCCAAAAATTGAGGAATTGTTCCTGACAGATTGTTTTGAGAAAGATCAAGAAATCTTAAACCTCTTAAAGTACTCAAAGATGAAGGGATTGTCCCTCGGAAGAAGTTTTTGTTCATAAGAAGTTTTTCCAATCCGACACAACTGCTGAGGGTTACAGGGATCTCATCAGACAACTTATTGTTGGAAATAACAAGTTCACCCAGATTATCAAGATTTCCAACTTCAGTCGGAAGCGGACCAACTAGATAGTTGTTAGATAAGTCCAAATATAAAGATAAGGAAGAGAGACTGAAAACTTGTGAAGGAATTGTTCCATTAAGATTGTTCTTGGAGAGATTCAATCCTTGCAAGTTCTGGCACATTCCCAGGCTAAATGGGATTTCGCCATAAAAACTGTTGTCATTTAGATGAAGCTTGGTTAAAAGGCTTAGATTTCCAAGAAAATATGGAATTTTCCCAGAGAAATTGTTGTGTGATAGATCAAGCATTTGTAGATTTCTTAGCTTCCCAATTTCAATAGGGATATGACCTGTGAATTTGTTACCCCTCATCTCAATATTCGTCAGATTTTCGAAATTTTCTATCCAACTTGGAAGGTTTCCTGATAGTTGATTGTTGCTTACTAATATCCCTGTAAGTTTTGTAGAGAGATTTCCGAAATATTTAGGCAACACCCCACCAAAGTTGTTATCAGATAGGCCCAGTTCCTCTAAATTACTGGCGTTGTTCAATGACGAAATGAAAATCAGATCAGTGGATTCTCCATTTCCCAAGTAATTGCTGGAGATGTCTAGGTGACTAAGTTTATGCAGATTTGAGAAACTAGGCACGTTTCCAGTGATTTTGTTTCCTCCGATAAAAAGAAACTCGAGATTCGACAAATTTGACAGGGAAACAGGAATTGTTCCTGTAAACTGGTTTCCCTCAATGGCAAGATAATGCAGGTTTGGAAGAGTCTTGCCTACGAAAGATGGAAGTGTACCTTGCATTTGGTTCATTGGCACAAAAATAGTTGTAATAGAAGAGAGATTGAAAATTGTAGGAGGGAAAGAACCAGACAATCTGTTTTCACTTAATCCAATGTATTCCAGATTCAGCTGTCCGAATTCATTTGGAATCCTCCCGGTAAGCCTGTTGGAGGAAAACCCAAAAAATTCCAGGGATGACGCATTCCCAAAAGTACTCGGGATTTCACCTACAAGACTATTTCTTGGGGCTTGAATCAGCTGAAGCTTTGACAAAGATCCTAATTTTGTTGGAATCTTTCCATAGAGATTATTCCACGAAAGACGAATCTCCACAAGATTAGAACAAGCAGACAGATTGGCAGGAATTTCTCCATCAAATTAGTTATTCCTTACCCGTAGGAATCTCAATCTTCTCAAATTTCCAAGTTCTTGAGGAATGTTTCCCATAAAGCTGTTGTTATCAAGAATCAGTAGATTAAGAAAAGTAAGATTTCCAATGTATGGGGACAGGGATCCTGTCAGTTTCTGATGCTGCAGATTCAAGCTTGTAATTTTTTGGTGCCTTCTGCTGCAAACAACACCAGGCCAGTGGCAAAAATGTGCAGATTCATTCCAAGAATTCAGGAAATTGAAGGGATCGTCAGTTATTCTGTTCTTGAATTCAAGAAGTGCTAGCCTGTCTGTTGCATTTGAATTTTGTGAATTAATGGGCACAAGAAAAAGGCATAAGAACAAACAGAAGAGAAATGCTTTTGTCGTTGAGGTAATTTGTTTGACTGAAAGGAGCACTGCCAACATCATCTAGGTGTTGATTAGAGGGTGCAGGGTACACTGGTTTCTTGAAGCCAGGCTAATAGGAACTGGTATGGCTTTTATTGTCATTATATAGGTGTAGATGATGGGCTCGCAGGTCATGTAACCCCATAAGACAGAAGTATTCAATACAATGAACTCTTTCGAGAATGGACGATTTGGTAGTCCATTTTCTCAGTTGGGTGACTTCATCGTCACAATGAGAGACTCCTATGAAGGGATATCTATTGTAATATCATTGTCAAACAGAGTTGAATATAACACACTCTTAAAATTGACTGTATGGTAATAGTGCCAATCCCAATGTCGTCACAAAAGCAATTGACGCTCAAAATGAATTGTTTTTCTTAGCTTTGTCAGATTGAATTATAATATTAATAGTAGCATTTTAAACATTTCTCGCTTGCCTATTCCTTTCTAGACCATGTATACCTCATCAAGTCAATTTGTTACGTAAAATGTAAACGATAGCATATGAATTGTCTCTTTCATAACACCCATAAGATTCGGGAATAATATTTTGGCTAGTAAGTTTGAAAATTAATGGTATCTTTTTCTATGATTTGTAAGTTCATATGCAACTTTGTCAAGATTTCAACTACTTTATTTAACAAAATCAAATCTGCATTCAAACTATCTTAGGATATTATACAAGAAAGATAAGGACTTGTCGAGATGAAAAGGAGGGTTTCTCCCCTCATCATCCCACAAGAAGGCAGTTTACCAGCTAATGGACCAGAAGCACAAGTCCAATCGAACATATAAACGTGTCAAGAGAGCAAGTTTCTCTCGTGCCTATTGCTTTCTAGACGTTTTATCGCAGGATTCAACCTTTGGTGACTCCCAAAATCTAAGGTTATATACCTTTTTACGTCAGATTGTGACCTATAATCACACTAGAAAACCAACCACTTTTTCTTATCAAATTTGTGATAGAAAATTGTAGGTAGCATTTGTATAACATTTCCCGGTTTAGAATTTGATTAAGCCACCGTTTGATCTACATTATTATCTCATTAAAATGAAAAATATAACCGTTATCCATCATATCAACATTTAAATTCAAAATTTTCATCTCTTATGTAGGCCCCAATAATGGATATATTTTTCATTCTCATTCTACAATAATTTGGCTCAAACAGGGTCTAAATACTGACATATTAATTATGCCGAATGATTATCATTGCAATCTCCAATTGTCAAGTATGAATACTAATCTGAGATTCGTCGTGTCGCACGATGGACANTCGAGATGTTCCTCACATAATATTAAAGATCTGTCATTAAGGTATGAATGCGATCAATTCCCATTCATCCCACTAATCAGTTTCCCAAATGTATCACATTCTACATTATAAGAACCATCAAGATAGTTGTAAATCATTATATTTCCAAACCGTCTATTTAATCTCTGTAGCAGCAGCAGCATCTACATCCTCGACCACCGAGCCTGCAGCTGCCTGATCTGCTCTAGTCACGAGCCAATTCACAACCTCTCCGAACACAAGTTCCACATTTTCATCGGGCTCTCCAACCAGCTGGTGCCACATGCCGGGATAAATCCTGAGGGTTTTATCCTTGCTTGCAGCACATTCATACAGACGTTCTGCGCAGGCGGGGTCACATACAACGTCACCACCTCCGTGCACGATCAAAAACGGAATGTCCACCTCATTGAACTGTCCTTGTATTTCTCTGCACACCCTCAATAACTCTTGCGCTGTTGCTGCACGTGGCCTTTGTAAGGGCCTCCTCGGACACGCTACAGCCAACTGCCGCTTCCATTCCACCTTACATTGTTCAAGAAAGAGATCAAATCAATAAATACAAGAAAATAAAGGGGACAAAGGAAACAAAATAGCAAAATAACTATTTTCTATTCATTTCTTGTAAATCTTGCAGGAAAAAAAATTATTATAATTCTTCAACAATGAAAATTCAGAAATGAATGAAATAGCAAAACTTGGTATTTAAACGTATAAAAACTTAGGCCATAAATTTCACTCTAGGGAAGAGCTTATAATAAAATGATATTGCAATACAGAGAAATGCTCAAGAACTATTTATTGACAGATGATTTGCTTTTTTATATATGGTTATATACAATGCTTGAAAATATAGCAAATTAATAAACTTGTGCTTGCAAACCAGAGTTGAATTAGAAAGAATACTACATTGGTCTTACTTCAAAGTATTCTGTGATAAGAATTGAATCAGAAACTGTAGTTATAACTTTTAACTCTAACCTCACAACGCGACTGAGAATTTGAACTCTTGGTTTAACATTTACTAGCAACATCAATATCGTATGGCTTCTCTCTTGAATCAGTAACATTCTCAGGAGGCGTAGATGTTGCATTAGATTTGATCCGTCTAAAGATCAATATACAATAAAACCTCGATAAATGAATGTTCAATAAATTAATAATCTCGCTTAAATAATAAAATTCATTTATCCTAACTTGGGCCATAGTACTAAATAATAACCCCGCTAAATGCATAAGATAATATGTTTTTTGAGATTCTTTAAGGCTCAACGAATATATAAATTTATAACCGCTTATATTCATGAAAGCGGCAGAAATTATCCATGTTTGGCCTCCATTTTTTCAAAATAAAAAAGAAGTATTTTTTCTCGTTTTTATTTTCAACCACACATTCTACAATAAAATAAGAATAATGCTAAATGTACACAATCTTTTACCCCCACCTCACATGGAGGGGGGCCCACACATAATAAAATAATCATGGAGCCCCCTCCATATGAGAGATGTGTAAAAGATTGTGTAAAAGTGTGTGAGTACATGTAGCATTACCCATAAAATAATATTACGAGTAAATTCAAAACTTTTTTTTTTAATCTTTTAATCACACATTTTTCAAAAAAAATACTATTTCAAAATATATTTTCCGCCAAAATCTATTTTTAATGGAGTTGAGACAGGTACTACCTTCCACGTGCACATGAAATAACGTCAACAATTAATCTTCCAAGATATTAAATTTTAAAACCAATGCATATATATTAATGTTTCCTCTTTAATGTATGTACGTGTGGGTCTTTTTGTGTGTTAACAGATTAAATTTTGAATTTCATCACATTTTGAGCCCTTGTTTGGGCTCTAATTTAATGTGATTTTGGGAGAAAATGTATTTTTGAATAGTGATTTTTTGAAGAATGTATAGTTAAAAAATCATGAAATTTTTTGAATTTACGCGTAATATTATTTTATAGAAGAAAGTGGTTGAAAATTAGTTTTTTTTTTAAAATGTATTTTGGAAATATTGGAGCCCAAACAAGGGCTCAATATATATATATTTTTTTAAAGTTTCCCACATATGGTCAAATATACAAATTATAAAAATATAAAATACTATATAAATTAATAAATATTTATTTATCGATAAATTAATAAATTATTCATTTATCAATAAATTAATAATCTCTCTAAAATAATAAATTTTCTTTGTCTTAAAATTATTATTTTATAGAGATTTTACTGTATTATTGGAGCTCTATGAATAATTTGATGTGTCTAAAGCTCTTATTACAAGGTTTCAACTATGGTTAGCTTTTAGACAATGTACACTTTTGCTTCAGAAAGTGTTAGACGAGAAAGTGTGTTTTTTTAAACTGTTCAATTATGCGTCCACAAGTGACATAATGTCAAAAGTAATGTTAAATAAAATGTACATATAGCATTGTAACTTTTAAGAGAGAATCCAAGACACAATAAGCCCTTGTTTGATCAACATTATTAATTCATTAAAATGAAAAATATGATTCTTATCCATCACATCAATATTTAAATTCAAATTTTCCATCACATTAATATTTAAATTCAAATTTTCTATCTCTTATGTGGGCTCCAATAACAACTATATTTTTCATTCTCATTTTACAATAATTTGGCTCAAATGGGGCTTAAATAACAAATAAAATTATAATCCAATTGAATTTTATGAAAAATATTAAGGAAAAATGTTACCTTGAAGGAAACAAGAGGTAAGGAACCGCGAGTGGGAACCACGCACCAAGTCGGGACCAAAGCAGCCGCTATAGATAGAAAATGCTCAAGCGGCCATGGAGGCTTGAATTTATCACTTATACCATACATAGCCCCATTCAAAACGGCGCCGTCAAATGGCCTCACCGGACAAACCCCGTCGCGGCGGAGCGTGATCAGCAACGCAATTGCCCCACCCAATGACTCCGCATACAGAAACGCCGGAAGATTTGGTGCATAACCCGCACAAAATTTGTTGAAAAATAGGATACATTCATCTACCACAAGATTAATATCCGGCAAATAGGCGATTAATCCCTCGGAATAGCCATGGCCCATATGGTCTATAGCGCAAACAGCAAAACCGTGTTTGGCGATATGGACAGAAGTCAACAGAACGAACCAACTGGACTCTCCGGTGTAGCCATGGACCACGCACACGATACCTGTCAAAATTATGGTATCAGAATCAGGCAAAATCAAGCTTCACTTTCACTCATAGATAACAATACCTTTGATGGGAGTTTGATCAGGGGTCCACCATTGAGCGAAGAGCTTGAGGCCCTGCTTGCTGGTGATGTACTCTGAGGCATGGCTCACCGAGTGTCGTGCGTAGAATTGTTTCGGACTCAGTGAGCCAAATGGGCTTGTCTCGTTGGCTTCTGCTATAGGGTGCTTGTGCTCCATTGTTGGGGTTTGATGGGGGTGGAGTGGGGTGGGTAAATAAGAGACAAGAGAAGGCGGGACAGAGGAGTGGTGTCTTAGATCAGTTATTGATTCTATCAAGAAACCTTGGTGTAGCTATCAAAATTATTGAAAGAAATAGGGGCTTATTTTAGAAATTTTGATTTTTGAATGTAGTTAACTGCTTCAATTAATTTGAAAATAAGTTACCCACTATCAAAAATTGTAGGAGACAGGGTCACACCCACATGGGGTTGTGTGGGAGTCAAGTGACCCCACAAAAATTTTTGATTTTTGATTTTTTTTTCCTGTAGTCCCTCACACTTTCTGCATTTGCACGATCTATCTCAGCCCTTTCCTGTTCAGTTTGGCTACGCTGTGCTTGGATTTGCTCCTCCGTTGCTGTCTGGGACTGATAGCCTCTTGCCTCAGAGCCAGAGCTTCTTGATAGTGGTAAAATGCGATATCAGGGAAAGATGTTAATTTTTCTGGTAAAAAGAGAACATCTTGGCTTGGGAATACTGGTAAACTAACGTGGAACTGAAACATGATAGAAATGGAAAGAGTGAGCTCAAGGAAGTTGATCACCGAACTACATGCGCCAAAGATAACCCTGCAAGGACCATGCTATTCGTACATGGGGATTTACACCCCCATGTACTCGGGCCCACCTGCCCCCCTCACAATAGGGGGGGGGGGGGTCACAATTATTTTATTCATCGTGGGCCCTCCCCTCATGTGAGGAGAATGTAAACGGGGGTGTAAACCCCCGTGTACGAAGACATTCAAACAAAAATAAAAAAAATACATTGATTATTATTTAATACAAACTTTTCTAGAAAAGTTACACTCACATTTACTCGGGTCCACCTGCCCCCTCACAATAGGGGGGCGGGGGGCCACGATTATTTTATTCATCGTGGGCCCGCCCCTCATGGGAGGGGAGTGTAAACGGGGGTGTAAATCCCCGTGTACGAATGGTTTTACCCAACCTTGCAAATAGGAAAATTTTGTTTGTATAGAAAAGTTGTATACAGAAAAATTACAGAATGTTGTCAAAAAAAGGGGCCCCACATATTCTGTGTATTCTGTAGGTTGTCTAGATGTTTATCTTCTGTAGCGTGTTTCCTTGCAAATAACGCCTAGTAGAGAAGTGACAAATCTGCCCGTCCATCATCACAGCTTTGGAAATTGTTGGCCGGTACCATGTTACTGAGTGTCTTGGATCAGCTGCATTGAGCAAAGCAATTCAGTCGCATGACATTCATACATGTATAGATGTCTACATGAAGATTATAAAAAATAACAAATATTTTTTCCATCGGAGCCTTGACGAAATAAAGCTTCTCAAGTATCTGAACAGGCACGATCCTGCTGACAATTATCATATTCTTCGGTTGTATGATTATTTCTATTTTTGAGTTCAACTCCATTTATTTTAAGTTTGTATTTGATACCATGTTTCTCTTAATTATGTATCTAATTGACCTGTGTAGTTGTTTTGAAGAGATTGTGATTGTCATATTTTCCTTTCATGTCTTATTTAAGTATCTATAGAAATAAAATTTAGGGGCTTGAATCTGTTCTCCTTACTCTGAACTCTTTTGCTCTTTTCTATTAAAAAAATGCTGCACATACAAGGGTCACGTCAGCCATGTAGTGCCAAGGAGACATCTGTCCACCTGTGATAATCTTATTTAAGAGAATGTCATGGGTTCAATAATATGTAAGTTAATGGTTTGAACATAGTCACAGGAGGACAACTGTTCCCCTGGCACGTATAGGGCTAATGTGGTCTTGTATGTGTAACATCATCCTTTCTATTAAAATTATATCTTCTTGACTCCTTGAACATTTTTCACATTAAATGGATTTTTCTTCTTAAGGTAATATATCGTGTGTAAATACAGTTTTCATGAGTTTTCCACAGTAACTTTTTTATATTTTGCCTTTTCGACGAATAGACTGTCTATGACAGCCTCAATACCCAAAAGAAGGAAAAATGTTGATCTGGAAGCTTGACAAACCCCCACAAAGAAACCCACAATACAAACCTAGAGAAAGGAAAAGTGGATTTTAAAAAAGTCGAGGAAAAAAATTGCATTTTAAATTTTGATCTCACAATACAAAAAGTCTAGTTTTGTCCTTTTTTGAAGAGGCTCGATCTCTATGAGAGATGATTGGAACACGAAAGACTAGGTGGACTTTGAGTCTTTAGGCGGTTATAATAGAACTTCATGCACCTTTAGGATGCTAGACCTTGGTGTACTCATGAGGAGTTAGGAACCTCAACCCTAGGTGTTGCTCGAGGCTATTCAAGGATGTCGAGATATGCAATTCACTTCTCTAGGGGTGGATCTAGGATCGATTAAAAAAAATTTAAGACAGGCTAATATGTTCGAAAAAAAATTACACAAAAGAAAATTTACGTACAAAAAAAATTACCCACAAAAAATTGAAATGGCCTAAGAGGGGACTAGGCTAAAGCCCAATCAAATCCTCTATCAATTAATGATACTTGCATGCTCTAGATTAGTGTTTAGCACCTGTGGTATTCAACTCATATTATTTAATACATGTGTAAGAATCTGATCACTCCTTGATGATATTAATTGCGGAAGAATCTATAAGACTTAATTTATAAATAGATAAAAATAGATGGTGAATAGTATTTATGGGTTAATTGAATATGTGGTTGGAAATGAATAAGTTTTTCACAGATGAAAAGGTTCAAATTTATATTTTAAAACTATTATACCATATTTTCAATTAAAAGAAACTTGAGGTAAAGAAAAAAATTAACCAAAAAATCCTCCTTCCCCTTCCCCTTCCCCTTCCATGACTCCCATCCAACGCGCTACCTATCCGGTTCATCGCTGGCTGCCCATCAGTAAATAAATTAGTGAGGGCCCGAAGTGGGGGAGAGTAGAATGAGGGAAATGTAAGAATGGGAGGAAACATGGAGGGGAAGGAGAAACACGTGGACTAAAAAAATATAAATGGTAGAGGTGGACGGGTTGCGGACAGGGGTGTGGTATAGGAGCGACCCTAGCAAGGTTCGTTTGTGGAAGGATGGGGACAAGGAATCGAGAGGGTGCACGGAATATTTATTCGTCATATTATAAATTCAAATATATTTTATTTACAGTATCCCCAAATTGTTCAAAAAATAATGCTAAATCTTTGACACGAACTTGTGGTTACATTTCTACGAAGAGTAATGCTATTTAACATCATTGGTGTTAAAATATCAGTTTAGATGACACTAATTTGTCAGTAAATGAGAAGTACAATTAAGCGAGTCACTTAATTCCACATTTCATCGAATCTATAGCGCAACACTATCTAGATTGGTGTTATATCACTAGTAATGCTAGAGATATAACATTATTCCTCCATGAATAAGCACAAGAGTCATGCTATATTGCCCCTGTGGGTTACCGCGGGGATGACCGTACACACACACATGGGGGTTTGGGATTATTTTATTCATGTGGGACCCGCGCCTGAGTTGTGAGTGTGCGGTCATCCCTGCGGTCACCGATGCGGGTCGTTTAGCATTTTTCATAAGCACAAAAGGACGCTGCATTGTTTAATTGAGGGTGCAGAGGGAGGGGACATGACAAATTGTACATTATTTATGGTAAAAGAGAGGTGGTTGCAACTACCAACTAAACCAGTTTCATATATTCATTGTGAACACTCCAAGATTGCTCATTTTCCTTTTAGGTGTGTTTGATGAATATTATTGGGGAAATAATGTATTTTAAATAGTTATATGATAAAAAATATGTAGTTAAAAAATAAGTAAATATTATTGACGTGATGAAAAATATTATTTTGTTCAAAAATGTGTGGTTAAAAATGAATTTTGAAAGAATGAATGTTTAAAGAATGTGTGTCAAATAGGGGCTACTATCAACATTTTCTTTTTATTTCACATCAAAGGTCTGTATTATGTCGTATAAAATTACTATTCTTCTCATTAAAATGTGATATAATGGATCCCAAACAGGGGATTAATAACGTAATAATAAAATTATTGAAAAAATAACGAATATTAAAATTAAATTCCTGAATATTCTGATATGTTAGATATTAAATTATTATTGCTCTGATTTATAAAAATTATGAATCATGTATTAACATATTAACTAATCCATTATTAATATGTATTGAATAATTTGGTTTTTAGGATTTTACAAAATAATTATTTTTTTCTTTCTTACCATGTTAATATATCCGATAGGGGTCTAGAAATGAACGCATAACACGGTTCGGCTAGTTTTTGATTTGCCATTTAAACCAAATATTTCTACTAAAAATGAGGAAACATTTGTGGATTATCACCTTTTCTTCTATGGTTTCTTTAATCTCGACCAAAAAAATGTTTGAACGAAAAATAAAGAGTAAAACATAGAATTCAACAACAACATTCTAGTTCCTGCTGATTAACGAGGTCGAAACTCGTTGATCGATAAACAAGAATTCAAGAATAATCTTTTTGTTCATCTCGCGATATCGAAGAGTTTTTTATTCGCGCTTAATATTAACGATTTGGACAGAAAAAATGTGGCAATCAAATGCAAAGTTAAGTATAGCAAGAAGGGGTGTTGGCAATGGCCTGGTTGCAGTTGCCATAGACAAAGACAGAGGAAGCCAATATGCAATCAGATGGACAATCGATAATCTGCTCTCCAGAGGCCAAACTATAATTCTCATTCATGTTTTGAAAAGGGCGCCGTCTTCATGTAATTATTTCTGATCTTTCTTTTAGACATGGGATCTTACAATTCTTCCTATTCATGCACGAATCATGCTACAATGTCAAAATAATTTACATAATGGTTTACATAATGTCACACGACATTCTATCATTGAAATTTTTAAAACACAATCATCTTTTCCATTAAGCCACCTCCCGCCACCTAGGATTCTGACACTGCTTTTGGCATTATTCTTCTAGCAAAGTGGTTTAACCCTTCACGCATTAGCTTTTGAAAGCATAGAATACCGTGTGATTAGTGCGTATAATAGTAATTTTGGCAGTTTGAATCGAGGGTGGATGCAAGGATATGACAGTAACGAAATTGGAATTGCGATAAATTAGGCTTATTTATCTGATTTCATTTTGATGGGCCATTGGGTTTAACTTTTTATATATATGCAGTTGGAAAAAATTATTACGCCCACGCTCTGAATGGAGCTGCACCTGTAGACAAGCAAATAGTCGAAAAGAGTGCGGAAGACCTATTCCTCACCTTCCATTGCTTTTGCACACGTAAAGATGTAAGTGGAAGTAACTCTTGTTTTTCATGCTCCATTGCAATATTATTGACAATCATTTGAGTTTAACATATAGTAAGGACGAGTTTGGTACGCTAGGCTGTACAAGACCAGACGGGATTATGAGATGCCTATGAGAAATTTTATCAGTTGTTTTAATCATGTCCAATCCAGTGTACCAAACATTGTAACTAGCCTTTCATTTTCCCCATTTGGCTCTCATGTTCGACTCTTGTCAATAGATTCAATGTTTGGATGTTGTACTTGAGGATACAGATGTAGCAAGAGCAGTAACAGACTATGTTACCTACTTTGCAATTGACAACTTAATTCTTGGAGCGTCGCGACATGGTTTTATCAGGTAAATTGATAAGTTCTGATTATAGCCAACAACATTTTTTTATGTAAAGTGAGTAATTTATGTTTATCATGTGACAGACGACTGAAAATGGTAGACATTCCGACAAGTGTATCCAAAGGAGCTCCGGATTTCTGTACGGTTTATGTGATCTCAAAATCAAAAATCTCTTCTGTGCGGAATGCTTCTCGACCAGCACCTTTTGCTTCGCCTCTTTATAAACAAATACAACAATTGCAAGAGCAAGCGAATAGTAATGGTTTTTCCCCTGATGCGCGTCCCAGGCGTATACCTAGCATGAGAGGTATGTTGTTTCCAGTTTCAACTTTCTAGTTTAGTACGTTACAATGTACTGCTAAACTTAGCTTCTTATATGATTTAACACTGCAGCACCTGATATGACACCGCGAAAGGCTCCTGGAATGCTCGGCGACAATGAATTTATCAAGTAAATTCGTCGTGATAAACCGTGTTTTTCTAAAAGTGAATAAGAGAAAATATAGAACGATTAAATTTTACGTAGTGAATTCTACTTGATCAAAATACTAGCCCACTACATTTTTTGGAGTACAGGTCGCCATTTGCCAGGGGAAGAGCGTTAAATGGAAGGTCATGTGCAGAGTTCTCAGAATTGGTTACTGATATATCATTCATAAGCTCTGGCAGGCCAAGCGTTGATATCGTGTCTACTATGCTCTGTGATAACATGGATACAAGTCGAACCTCACGTGTGTCAACCAGCTCAGAAAGCAGTTTGGGGTCAGCGCGCTCCTGGGCTAAGGATAGTGAATTGAGTTCCTTTACTGATTTTTCATCGTCGTCACTTCAAAACGTAAGGACACCATCTTGACGGTGAAACACCATATGTTCGGCTAGGCGTAAATGAATAAATAAAACCTGCTTTTCTGACATGAAGTTACTATCAAATAAGTAAGATTTTCTACTGAAAATCCAAACAAAAGGGGACTTTTTAAAAGCCCAAAAACATATTTGTCTAGAATAATTCAATAGCTTGATCATGCAGGAGCAGTCGTAAATTATATTAAGGCAAGTTATAAAGTATTCTGCTGGTATTAGATTCTGATCATTGCTTCTACGCATCCTTTGAAACATGTAGGATGACGTGGAATCTGAAATGAGAAGGCTAAAGCTTGAGTTGCAGAAAACAATGGAAATGTACAGCACAGCCTGTAAGGAAGCACTAACGTCAAAACAGAAGGTAGAATCTATTTTATAGATTTCCACTGCACTGTATGGAGCCTAATTGCACTGCACACTTTTCCTCCTTACCTACGGATCGACTTGCAAGTGGCAAGTGGACGTAACTCTCATGTTGAGAGTGAAACACTGTAAATTTGTGTGGGCTTTTCTCGTTTTCTAACTGTTTTAGCACAGGCGGTGGAGCTTAATCGTTGGCGAATGGAAGAAGAACGAAGATTAGAAGAGGCTCGACTTGCAGAGGAAGAAGCAAAAATAGTTGCTGAAACAGAGAAAGCTAAATGCAGGGCAGCCTTAGAGAATGCTGAAGCAGCTCAGAGAATTGAAGAATTAGAATCACAAAAAAGAGTTAATGCTGAACTGAAAGCCATTAAAGAGTCAGGGGAGAAGGAGAATGAGCAAAATACATTAGCTCAACAGGAATTAATATACAGGCGATACACTATCGAAGAAATTGAAGAGGCAACAGAATATTTTTCAGAGTCTCGCAAGGTTGGAGAAGGCGGCTATGGCCCTGTTTTCAAGTGTTATCTCGACCATACACCAGTGGCAGTGAAGATCTTACGTCCTGATGCTGCTCAAGGAAGGTCACAATTTCAGCACGAGGTAATGGAGAAGCAAAGTAACATTACAAGTAATTTCATTTTTCAATAGAAATAAAAGCATATGAATTCTGCAATTGCAATACCCATTCTTCCTAAGCACTTAAGCAGGAACAGGGCCTGAGGTTAAGTGTTATCGCCACCCATTATGAATATTGTTCACGTGTGAGCCCTTTGAGGTAAAAATGAATTCGGCCTGCACGTGAGGAGGCGAGTGAAGATTATATTTAAATAAATAAACGGGTCTCCTTCATAACAACTTAAAGTTGTAGACGAGATGGTTCAAAATTGCTTATGAGAGGAATTTTTTTGAAGATTTAGAAGTCCATTACTAGACAATTTGTTCATACGACTAATGCAGGTTGAAGTGCTGACTTGCATGAGACACCCAAATATGGTTATACTCCTTGGAGCCTGCCCAGAATATGGCTGTTTAATTTATGAATACATGGCTAATGGTAGCTTGGAAGACCGTCTCCTCCGGAAAGGAAACACGCGCCCACTCTCGTGGCAACTTCGGTTCCGAATAGCTGCAGAGATTGCCACAGCCCTTCTCTTTCTTCACCAGACGAAACCCGAACCACTAGTGCACCGTGACCTCAAACCAGGAAATATTTTGCTTGATCACAACTTTGTAAGCAAGATTGGTGACGTTGGATTGGCTAGGCTTGTCCCTCCTTCTGTAGCTGACGATGTAACACAATACCGATTGACCTCAGCAGCCGGAACTTTTTGCTACATTGATCCTGAGTATCAACAGACGGGAATGCTCGGAGTTAAATCCGATGTTTACTCGTTCGGCATTGTGCTTCTTCAAATACTATCTGGTAAACCAGCAATGGGTTTGACTCACCACATTGGCCGGTCAATTGAGAAGGGGACGTTTGAACAGATGCTCGATCCTTCCGTGCCAGATTGGCCAGTTGAAGAGGCCTTAAAATTTGCAAAGCTAGCACTACAATGCGCAGAATTAAGACGAAAAGACAGGCCAGATCTTGGCAAGGTTGTTTTGCCTGAGCTTAATAGATTGAGAGAGTTCGGCGAAGAAAATATGACCCATTTCTTGGTAGTTCGCGGTACCACTCCCTCTCCTAATCAGAGTGACGCGTCTTTAACGCAGCTCAGTTGCTGATACATTTCAAGAATTCGAGGGCTACCTAATATTCTGAAAGTAACTCTTTAATAAAAAAAAAAAATTTAAAATACTGTTCTAAGAATACTCTCGGAGTGTTGCATATTTTGCCCATGGCTGAAAGAAACGGTCAATACAGAGCAAGTCCATGCTAGCATTTGAGTAATGACTTGTACTACTCATTGGAAACAATGTATAAAACTTCCAGGAGTTTTTGATGAATGCAGAAATGATTGAAATAATCTGCGGATGCTCATGCAGGAGGAAATCATTAGTGACCCTCAAGTACATTCTGGATCAAACAGCTCGAAAGGCAATTTAACTTCAGCATCTCTGCCAGAATAGCTTCAGTTATTCTTCATCTCATTCTATTCAATGGAAAAACTGATTGAATCTGGCAGCAGACGACGAAAGATATCATGCAAAACAATCCAAGTAATCTTAACAGTTTTGTCGTTCATTCTACTGGGGTTATTTTTATCTAGCAAGTTCGTAATTATGATAGAACGAGTGAGCTCAGGCCACAGAGGGCTCTGAAGCTCATCATTGTACAGTTTTTAGCTGACAAGACATACAACAATCTTGTTCATGTAGAATGCCTCAGCTTTGTCTTTATCAATGTAAGATGTATATTGTAGTTAATATTACCCATAATGGTCGTGGAATCATATGATGTTCACTCCTTGGATGCCCAAACGTTTCACAGCACTCATCTAATTCAATATTGTATTGTAACTGAGAAAATTTTCAACTTAATTTCCTAAATCCCATTTAGTGGGATCCTATCAACGTACCAAACATGCCAAAATGGTTTTAGCTGCTTAAAACACTTGACTATATATCCACAAATCCCCAATTTGATCAAGAAGCTTTTGTAGGTTGTTTACTCTTTTCTGAATCAATCTTCTCCTTTAGAGCTTCCCAAAAGGCAGGTATTGCAATATCATTAGGAACTTCCTTGAGTGAAGGGAGGTAATTCACATCCACAATCACATGGTCACCAGTGCCTTCTTGAACCTGGAATTTCATAAAAAGAGAAAAACTGTGAATGTAAAACCTGGAATCCAGAGATATACAAAATGTTGAAGAAAGTCAATTGAAATTCTTGTTCACGAGAGATCATGCTCCATCCTCTCTCCAATGAAATTCTTGTTCATTACATTTTCTCACGTCCTTGTATCCCAAGGTACTATGTTATGTCTTTGATTTTTATTTTTTTGGAGAGATTATCTGAAAAAGATAACGGCCATTCTGCAGACTATATCTTTGAATTTTTATATGCTTAAAAAGGTTATACATTAGAAGATAACCAAATACTCACGACAACATCAAAGCCAAAAATAAAGAGGCCAAGTATCCTTCTAAGCCAATCTGCAGCATCGGTAACAAGGCCATCAATATGTTGATCACAAGATTGTGGGTTTTCTTTAGCAATAGGCAGAGATTTTAAACTGCAACAAAACAGATGTTCTCTTTTGTCATCGTATGCTACATCATGGCTAATCAGCATAACCATATGACAGCAAAGATAAGGAAAAGTGAAAACAAATAATGCCCGTCAAAGAGCAAAGGTTTGAGTCCCTGCTCCTCAGATAATTTCGTCAAGGTATCTGCATTAGGTGTGGACTTCTTAACTGCATAAAATATCTTCCCCCACAATGCATAGAATTTATATAGCAAAGATGAATGATCCACGTATTCCTGCAGCAACACTTAATTTCATATTTTACTTCAGAAAAGAAAGTCCAAATAATCAGCTGAAAATAATCCATCACATAGCATCTGCAGATAGCATTCACAAGTATACTGTAATTATCAACATCAAAACCTTAATTGCTACACTGAACAGATATCACTTACGTTTTTGGACTAATAGCAATCAAAACCTGAAATCTATTTACAGCAGACCACATATATCCTTAGTGAAACGCACTATGATTGAGTACAACCAAGTTTTTTCACATTTTATATTGTTACAGATGAAAGCACACGACAATGATGCAAGAAACAATTTGTATGGTCTTTCACCAACAGAACAAGACAAATACAAAACCAAAGAATAGAGTAATGCTTCCACCAACATCATGTTACCACTAGAGCCTAGGATTAACAATATAACCGTACATGTGGTCCCTCACCTGCACAACTGCTGGAAGAGGAACATCGAGGTCCTCGTAGTCATTCACCTTGAAAACAATGGCCTGGTAATTACGATGGCATGTAATGGAATTGGTAGAAACAATTAGGAGATAGAAATGGAATGTAAAATTATAGATTCTTTGATGACTAAACGAGAATCCAAGGGAAATTAAAGCCGATGTACCATACTGTGAGCATCAGCTACACCACATGCAACTTGAGGTTTGACCATAAATTGCGCTCATTAAAGCAATCAACCTGTAAATCGAAGATCAATTCTATTTAAACTGTTGAAAAAACTTAGCATGGTCTGTTGAAAATAAAATGACCGCCTATGTAGCATTAAAGAAACAGAATTGTCCATTAAAACACTACATAGACTGCCCGAGATTTATAACTTCTATAAATGAATTTGTAGAAGAAAAATAATAAGGCAAACGTCCATTCTGAATTAAACATATTCAATCGAACAATTAGGTTCTTTTAATGCAAAGTTCATCAAGACATATACAATTGCACAAGAGGTTTTTTTGATGTGAAGTTCATATCAACCTTAAAATAATTGTTTGGAGTAGTGGGTATTTATATTATCAAGCATACCTACTGGAAGATATCGTGAATTTTTTACCGAAAACAAAATCACTTCCATTAATTTGACAGGAAGCCAAACTGGCAATTTATTTTCCCAAAACAGACTTCCAATTTGTAGTGATTCAAATGAACATTTTCTAGCTTGAATATATATACACATAAAAACTTAGTAACATAGTATAAGAGAAACAATGCATGCTGTAGTATGTAGCAAAAAATTTGCAACTAAAACTTCAGGACCTTTTCAGAAATTTGGCACAAAAAAGATATAATTTAGGAGAAATGACCTTGAGAAAATGGGAGCACCTAATTTTACAGTGGCCTTTTATTTTGAGATTTTCCAAACCAAGTAGAATCTGCTGAATTTTGTGCCGGTCCAATACAGGGTGAATGTAACTGAAAGGGTCAATTACACAGCATCCTGATTGGCATTCAATATACCTGAAATCAAAAATAATAATAATAAAATTAGCTGGTCTTATAAAATTTTCAGCTCTGGGCAACTTATTGGGATTAAAAGCAATCATACATTTTTCTTCATACAACTGATCATATTTGTTGGAAACTTTTTCATTGCAATTGCAACTTTTGTATTCGCATTAAACATCCACGAACATATATTTCTAAAAGTTTTTCCCTCCTCATATTATAGAATGCACTATTTTAAAATTTCTCATGAAGGCGGACTATCTAAAAATAAAAACATATTCACATTTTGCTGATCGTTGGAACTTCAACATGGGTCCCAGAAAGCAGCAATTAATTGACCGTTGGATCTTCAACATGGGTCTCATGAAGGCAGCAGTTTTTGAAATTTTAAACGTGAAATACCAAAATGTCTATTTATCATGACAACTGAATTAAATGTTAAGGCGAAAATGTCATTCTGCAGTAAAAGAGTCCAACATTTCGACTGCCTTATCTGAGCCCGGGTCCCACTTAACCGTGAAAACGGTAAAAAAATGAATTTTCTGGGCAGCCAAAAGTGCTCCCAGACAGGCCCGTATGAAATTATTTTATGGGATACTATGTGGTAAAAAATGAGTTTTTGAAAAAAAAGGAGGCCAAACATAGAATTAGATTCCAAAATTGCCCACTAAAAGTCAGTAAAAAAAAACTGAGGAATAAAAATGAAGTGAACTGATCTAAAATTGTTGGAGAACTATTATTAGAAAGTGCAAAGCAAATTTCAAATTTTGAAAATGGGTGCAGATGCGTCAAATATACTTACTGTTCTTATAAATTTTGCCATTAGGTGGAAAGCCCAACAATATGGACTGAGAGCATTTTGATCAAATGGACGTAAAACATACACATTCTTCTTAAAATCTACCTTTAGCAGATAACTAACATATCTTAGAAATGATAGAATTTCAATATACAATAAACTCGTCTCTGGTGAGCTTCAAAGAGTGATTATCGAATTAGTTGATAGACATGAGATGGGCTTTCAGAAGGACCATAAAGTTTAACTTTAGGTCTCAGAAAGATCAACCTACGATGACTGACAGACATAACGATTTGCATTCCATGATATAATTCCCCAAAGACCACTTCAAAGATTTTATATGTTGGAGTTAATAGAAGGCAATGATGAAAGCAAAAAGCTTCTCTTTTCTAGGCAGTTAAATTTGAATTCTATAGTTACCTTTGCAATTCCTCCATATTTCTTGTAAAAGTATTTTTTTTAGCAGATTCTGCAGGACTTCCCATTTCAACAGCCATAATCTCATCAGTTGCTTTGTGAAGAATTGCATCGACTTCTTGCAGCTGAGATGATATGTGTAGTTCATAATTAAGGGGCAAAAATATCAATCCATTTTCTGTTGGACAAAATGGGAAGGCGCCTCTCTGCAAAATGAGGAAGAAAATGCAAGTGAACCAGACAGGTATATCAAGGCCTGTGGCAGAGTTCAATAGCACGATCAATAAATTGGACATAAACAATAACTACGTAAAAGACTAGCAATATCTACTCCACTTCACTTTGGATAAACTGATGGACATGATTGATTGAGTATATCAAGGGCATCCATTATGTATCACATACAAAAAGATAAATGGATATCATTTAGACGCGTTATACAGAACATGCAGAAACTATACCATTAGTGAGTTCCACACAATCACTAAGCCATGTCAGAAAACAGAAGTGTGTTCTAAACAGGCCTATTTAAATGAAAAACGTCCGTACTCAACCCAGTTGTCAAGCTCCCACATTCTTGTCTGAGCTGAATTTACAAAATAGGATTACCTTGGCAAAATCTTCTTCCCGAGAACGCTTCATTACATAACCCACTGTCGTCATGATGTCTTTACCCGATGCCTGTTTGACCAAGAAAATAGGAATGGAAGAAATTTTAGCAAGAGGTTGCAACTAATACAACAATATACCAAAAGAACTAGAGAGAGTGGGAGAGGGGGGAGAGATAGAGAGAGGGGAACAGGAACCTGGCGATGATTTGTGGGTAGTAGCTAGGCAGCTGGTAGGGAGTTGAGATGGTAATGGGAATGTGGAGAGAGTGGGGAAGCAGATGATAGGATTTAATGGGTAAGGTGTGCAGATGGTCATCCGGAAAAGAGGTGATTGAGCTAGGAAGGGCGATTCATGAAATTATGTCGGTAAAACTAAGCCTATGTTTGGCTCATGTTTATAAATACTCCAGGCACTTTTCATCTGCACATTTCGAGGGACCCACAAGAGAGAGATTTTGGCCAAATGCTTGATAAAGAAAAAGAAAAAATGAAAGTGTTAGATGGTTGGCAAGCATGCATCTGAAGAACAGAAAATAGTCATTCGAAATGCAGCAGGACTCTGGTAACAGAGTAGTGTTCTCATCAATAATTCCTGAGGAAAGGCCTTGTATTGTTGTCTCAGATTATGCATTTTACTCAAGATTGATAGTACTTTGACTTCGATTTATGTAGGATGGCATTAGAGCTTCGGCTTATGGGTTACCACGTGCTCATCAAAAATAGAAATCACCTATTAAAAAAAGCAGTTGACATATTTTGGCAATATCAATGAACCAGAATTAAAAGCCAACATGACAGAAGGTGTTTAGCCACCTTTTACGAGCATAATTTTAATATTATATAAAAAAAACCTTCTTTTTTTTTTCTTTTACATTTTTTTCTTAAATGGGTGTACAAGTTGTAAAAGTCACCAAGCATAACAATCAACCAGCCAGAAATGACCATATTACGAACGAGGTCCTCTCAGCAACTAGAAATTACATGCATAAAACTTCCTTCATCATCACCCCGAAGTCGTCTAGCCTCACTGATATCATCATTTTCTGATGATGAGCTCAAGATAAAACGATTATACGAGTATATGCTTGCAAACTCTTGAAGAAGATTAGCCCATAACAAGAAGAAACATTTGTTAGGAATCACATTGTTCAGATTATGTTATAGGTCATCAGAGCATAGTTCTCAGTGGGATGAACAAAAATGACGACTTTAAGACTACGATTAAAGCACCCAATACACCATAAACGAAACAAGGATTAATGGAGAAATTATCATATACTTCAATTCTATGTCATCAGAACTGCTTTGACTTATGGCCAGCTGTAACTTTATGAATATTTGAAAACAAGATATCAGAAAATAAGAGATTGTGTCCACATAGATGGTCTTGCAAAGTGACAAGGTTTATAGTCGAACTACTTAATTGGCTAGCTAGACAAGGCAGTCAAGACATCAAGCAATATTGCTTCGAGTTGGAGTTTAGGTCGATGAAGACCAATATGTTAGATATATGAAGACCAGAAACTACAGTTGCAGCAAATATTGTCAACTCACAGTCAGATAATGTCATCTCAGAAAATTTATAGCCAGAAATATTTTTTCTTTACTAGCAGATGAATATAATAGATCCATTCAATTCAGGGCTAAAATACGTGAGCTATCTGCTTCTGAGATAGAATTACTTTTTTGCTTGCTAGGCAAATTGGAATAAGTTTGGATATTAAATAAGGTTAGAATCTTGGATGAAATTCTATCCTTCGGTGTAGTACGTGATAAGACAACAGCACAGGAAAAGCTCACCTCAGGAGCTGAAAGACCTTGTCCATAAGATAGACCCTGCAAATACCCATTGATGGCGGGTCAACAGCAAGATAAATTATATAAAATGGCAAGAAAGATAACAAAATATGTTGATATTAGGTGTGCGTGTCAGTTGACGTATGCTTAACCTAGATACTGCTTGCATGGCACGAATGATGCATCCGGTTTAGTCTGTGTCCTCGTCTCATCATGCCAAAATATATGTAGTATTGGGAAACTGATTATCCTTTTGTAATTTTAGAAATCGGCAATTATCTATGGCCAAGAAAAAATACATTCAATTCATTTTCAGTTGACTAACTTCATTTTTGTGCAATAATGAAACTCAATTCTAAAATATTTTTACTGCTAATCTCATTTATTTTTTCTGGTATAACACTCTTTTACAGGAGAAAAGTAGCAGTAGAAAGCTGAGAGATTTGCCATACTTCAAAAAACTTTCTTTTTTAACTGCATAATCTTTCATGTTGACGATGTATAGGATCACAGCCCATAAAATAGACTCCATACGGAAACCTTTCGATGAAACTCATGAAAAACTAACAAAGACAGACACACTGCCCACTGCTATTGCTCGTTCCCTAGAAGAGGCAAGGCATTGCAGTGAACTCTAAGAAGAGACAATAAGCTAGTTCACCTCAGTGGTCTCCTAAAGATTATCAGGTAGAGTTTCCAATCAAAATGCAAAAGGTTGATGCTAGAAAGTAACATCTAGGAGTTAAAATTTTTATATCATCAAACACGGCCTTAGGCTTGCTTTAGTGGCATGGGTTTCATAGAGTCAGATCATAATTCAAGAAAAATCAATTCAAAAATAAAGGGAAGATTATGTAATTCGCATCCAGATGCCAACACTCCAAACCCCAAGCAGTGGCGTTACTTCCCAACATATACATTACAGAAAGGCCCTTTAGCACATTAATGGAAGCTCGGGAACAAACCACGGTCATAGAAACTCGAATTTCAATCCCATTATTTTGGTTAATCACTCGCCATAAAGCGTCAAAATACATTTGTTTAGCCAGAAATATTCAAAGAAAAGCGAAATATAAACATCTCAGATCAGATAATTTGGATACTTCATGCAATAACACAACAGCGTTATCATTTGAAATGGCAAGCGCATGTATTGTACGCGCTACACATTTCACCAACTTGGAAAAATCAAATAAAAAAATTGCAAATTCAATAAATGTGGACGAAGATAATTGATGGGTTGAAGGAATTTACACTGGGTTTTGCAGTAGCGTAACTTCCGAAGCAGATAATCAGCGCCCGGTCGAAGGGTGATGTCTTCATTTTCATCATCATCAGATGCGAACAGAATTGAAGAGTTCAATAAAATCCCCCTAACTCCACCCATTTCCTTCTGTAATTTTTGCTTCAGAATTGAAGTCACTTTCCCCGTACAGGGTGATTGGGATAGGTTCTCATATTGTATCATAAATTAATTCTCATTTTCAACTGCACATTCTTAAATAAAATAATATTTTTCATTACATCAATAATTTTTTTCTTTTTCAACCACATCATCGTGTGTATATAATATACGAATGTATGTGTTGCTGGAAAAAATAGTTGAGTAGCTGACTTTGGAGCTAAATTTGAATGGGACCCGATTGTTCATTTTGAAATATGGAAATTGATTTGTATTCTCCTCCGTGAGTACATTGAAATAATATATTTACTTGCAAAAAATGATACTCGAATGAATTAGAAATTGATATTCAAAGTATGTCATGTGAAATGAGTTTATGTGGGTAAGAAAACTAAAATAAACTTGTCCCACGTAGGAAAATGAGGAAAGCAAAAACCACTTTATATATGATTGCACTTTGGAAATTTGTAATCACGTTTAGCATAGAGGCTCTCTCCACGTGCGCGCGCAGGAGAGTGCAAATCATGGATCGAAATGGATTTCGGACCTTGAACTCGTATGCGATTGACCAAAAATTGGCACCTTTTGAGTGTTAAAAGTCTATATAAGAGAACATTTTTCCTCATGTTCTGCATACTGTTGAAACTCCAGTTCTGCATTATGCTTATGTCTGTCTTGTATACTGTTTTCCTTTCAAACTTTGTTTCGATTTTCTAGTGGTGATATTGTTCGAGCACTAACTCAATTCCTCGGAGTAAAAAACTGTTGTGTTCAAATTTTAATGGTTAACCGTTGTATTCTGGGAAGCAGACGCTCAAATTATATCTTAAACACGAACAGTGATGAGACGAATATGTTTAAGGAAATTGTGTTCGCACAGGCCTCAGTTTCGGATTTTTTTCTTGTTACAATTTCTATTTCTCATTTTGTTATTTTACTGCAGTTGACGAATTATTATCCTTGTTTGTATTTCAGCCTAGTAGTTTATCCACTTAAATATTACAACATGTGTATCTATCTCTGTCAAAAGTTCATGGACATAGAAATGCATACTTCCTACGATGGAAATTTTGATGCCAAGGCGCCTCGTCCTCTTCTTTGTTATTTGTTATTTCAAATGTTATCCAGTTCCAGCTAAAGTCGACAACGCTGTGCCACAACCCACAAAGGTGTAGGACCCGCAAGATTCGTTGCAGTGCCAATGGGAGAATTTCACAATCAGTAAATATTTATACGTAAATTAAAAATTAATTAATTTTTAACAATACATTTTTCAAAAACTCACTATTTCAAAACTCATTTAAAAAAAAAAACACTTTTAATGGTTGTTAAATAGGGTAGTAAAATGATATTATACCTTTTAAAAAATGAATAAAATAATTCTCAATCTTTCATTGTAATTGTATTTGTACCGTTAGAGCTAGTTGAGTTTTACAAAGTTGTATTATATTTTTCAACTTGAACTAGCGTCTAAAAAATTGAAATGAGTCGTTTTTAATGAGTGACACGCAAAAATTAACAAGTATTTACAGTTTAATGTTATTGAAGACCAAATATGCAACTGTGACGAAAGATTGATTATTAATTTGCCATTGTTTATAGATTAATACGAAGTTGTTACTCGAGTAATGATGGAAGGACCAATAGGAGATTGTTTTTGGAAGATTGACAATCAATTTGATCCTTTTTCTTTCATTTTTTTTTTAGTTTGAATATGAGCTTGTTACTTGGATAATAAATTAAGGACCAATAGAGTAATTTTTCTAGTGATGAATAATCAAAAATGTCGTGTAACACTTATGAGACGTTGTATCACAACTTTATATTAGCTTTTATTTTATATGGAGTTAGCTGTATAAAAACAAAATTAACATTTTTATCGTGATGTGGTTGATATTTAGATTCACATTTCAATGTGTAAGGTTTTATACTTTATCCCTAAAAATGTTTAAGATACATTTCATAATTACTGAACTATTGACATTACAACGGATACGAAGAAATTGGTTTAAAACCCACAAAATTGTTCAGGGTTGTTCTCTTTGTGTTTCACCTTTATGTTTTAAGTTTTAAATTCATTTTGAGTTTTGTGTGTTTGAGTGTTCATTCTGAGATTATTGAAAATGTGTTTTTTTTTTACATTTTGAAAAATTGTTTTGAAAACGCCCAAAACGCTTTTTGAAAATTTTGGCTTGATTATAACCGAAAACACCTAGAACGACAAATTTGTTGTTTTGTATTTTCTTTATAAATGTTTAACTTATTTTCAAAAACGCGTTTTCGAAAATAGGAAAAAGAATGCGTTTTCAATATTTTGAAAAATCGAAAATAGAAAACGACTTGAAAATGGTAGGGAGAACATACCCTTAATTTTTAGATTTTAGTTTTTCTCAAATTATTTTAAATGGTGTGGTTTACATTTGCTTCTTTTAAAAAAAAAAAAAACCTTTTAAAATGGGTTGATATGAAAATATGTGCGGTAAAGCCATCAAACTCAATCGCTTTACACCCTTAAAAGTTAAAACGAATGTCATCACAAAAAAATTCTATCATACTGCACCACATTTTATTTACAATGAGGGTCCTCGTATTTTGCTAATTTTTACACTACACTTGTATCTCCAATTTTTTCCGCCATATTTTTTGTTTCTCCTTTAATTAATTAACACATTTATTTCTCATGACGATTTTTATCCAAATAATATGTCACCGTAGGAAAATATTCTGTCGAACTTATTATCTAGATTGTGCTTGTAAATAACTTAAGGGCTTGTTTGAGCCCCTTTTTTTTTAATCAAAAAATGTATTTGTAATAGTGTTGTGATGGAGAATGCGTAGTTAAAAAATAAGGAAATTTTTTTGAATTTGTGTGTAATATTATTTTAATGAAAAAAAGAGTTGTTGAAATGTGATCAAATCACTATTCAAAAATATATTTTGATGGAAAAAATAGGGTTCAAACGAGGGCAAAATTTCAATTAAGTTGCATTAAGTGAACAGACTTTGAATATAGGAAAACTGGGATCATATTTTTCTTTATCTTTTCTTTATTTATAAAAGGGATGAACTTTCCCCTCAAAAACCTCAATTGGTAATATCAGTAGTCGGAAAATCAACTTTTAAGCTATATAACCCAAACAAGCCCTAATTATTTGTGATTTTTGCTCAAGTTGCTCCATTTCATAACACTCGGTTCGACTGAACCGTTAACGAGACCCCGGGCGGGCTTTCGATCAGCAACACATGAAACTGCTCCAGTGAAGATCGCTCTTTTAATTTTGCGCAATTCATCAAACTGTTGAAATTTCACAAGGTATTCTGAATTTCCATCCCAGATAATCTTTTTTAATTAATTGTCGATCTAGAAATAATTATGCGATTTAGATCTATGTTGAGTTTTATTCTTCTTCTTTACTCAATTGTTCTCGTAATCATTATTTTAGATCTTAGTTAAAAGCAATGGGAACGATGGACAAGCAGAGTGCTGCAGATTACATCAACCAGATGTTCCCTACAGGTTGTTTGTCAGTTTACACACGAATTTACATGTTTTGATATTGATTAATGTTTATCATTTTGATATGTGCTTTCTTTTTTTTTTTTTGAAATATTCTTTGCTCAACTCTCAATGGAACCAATCCAGAATAATGAAAATAATAAATAGGTGGAATTAGTTTTTGTTTGAATTTCGGAAATTTAGATAGTTTCGAGTCTGGAGCCAATTTATTGATTGGAGGGAATGTTTCATTTATTTAGTTGTAACCTGTAATATGGTACTGAATATATGGAAGAACCAGTTGGAAAAGAATCTCGAGAATTTTATTCATTGGTAACTTTTATACATGAACACAGAGCGGTGAAACTTATATATGAACAATATGGAATATGGAGGATGCCTGCATGTAAGGCTAATCTTTTACAAAAAAATGCATGTTAGTTAAGCTGTTTCAAATGAATTCTCCAAAAAGAAAGGGAAAAAACAGAAGGAAATAGTTTTATCCGACCCATTGATTAAAATCTATAATCTCAAGGTCTTGTCTCCAGTGTTTATGCAGTGATGGTGTTCTAATACATGTTATTTTTCTTATTTTATTGACAATCTGGCGACTGATTACTTTGCAGAGGCATCTTTATCTGGTGTCGAGCCACTTATGCAGAAAATACATAGTGAAATTCGTCGAGTGGATGCTGAGATTTTAGTGGCCGTTCGCCAACAGGTTGGCATTTTTTTCTGCTGCTGATAACATAATATCACTTACTTGGAGGCAAAGATGGCGGTCTTTCACATATAAGTGAAAATCACATGTTTCTTCCTTCTCCCTTTTCTACTGAAAAGGAAGAAGCAACAATAGAGGCAAATTGAATACAAGGGTTTTCACTGGTATAACAATATGGTAAATCCACGATAAAAACAGCGAACGGAAGCATAGCAGTGGTTCAATAAAATAGTCTATTAAAGTCTTGGGTAACATGCCTCCCTTTTGGCAATTCCTTAACACCATGGTTTCTAAGTGTGTGCATACCGAAATTTGTGTCTATGTGGGATGATTGGTTGAGCAGAATCTTTTTGGCAACAATATATGCAGTCACTCTCTTGGCCAAATTAACAAACTCTTTCTAATCAAAGAGCATAATTTGAAATGAACTGTTTGAAATACTCAATTACCATAATTTGCAGAGTAATTCAGGAACCAAAGCAAGGGAGGATCTTGCTGCGGCCACCAGTGCAGTGCAGGTTTGTTAATTACATAAGTTGTAGAACTTTGATTCGCTTCTGAAATCAGGTTACTCTAAGCATAAGCAATTTTTTTCTTCCTGCAATTCAGGCGTCTGTAATCTTGATTTTACAAGATTCAACCCTGCATCACGGTTTCATCATTAACTCATCTCTATGCTCTGAACCAGGAACTTATGTATAAAA